AGCATATTGCTTTAAACCTCGTTACGATCCGTTTCGACGAGTCGTGCCTGTAGCCATCACGTCCATTTGCGTTTACTCGGTCGATCGTGATTTTTTCACTTTTACATATATATTTGTATTGTGGCGTACGAATCGAGGGAAACGTTACAACGCGATACACGCGCGGAGTAATTTGGAAAAAAGGAAGGAGCTGGATTCGTGGGAAATTTCGGTTTCATCGGTTCGATCGCGATAATATATCTTTGGACGAGATCGCCGATTTTTCGAACGCGTCTCATCCGATTTCGTTCCGGGATCAAAAAGTATACGATATGCGAAAATACGATACGATTTTTTCTCTCACTTTTTTCTCACTGGCGTTCCCCTGAGAAGAAGAGAGAAACGATTATAAGAAAGATGTTAAACATGTTTTGTGGAAGCAGCGGGCCCTCAAGTGTCGGTGAAAACTCAGCAGGAGTCGGTGAGGCGAGGAGAGAGCGTGACGTTACGCTGCGAGGCCGAAGGAGACGCTCCTCTTGATCTGAGCTGGCGTGCGCGTGACAGCCGAGTCGATCCCAACTACGATGTTAGGTTTGTATCGAAATTAATCAAGCCTCCCCCTTCCCTCCCGTGCATGCTGTCTGGCTTTCGCTGCGGCGAACGATCGATGAGAGCGACATCTCGATCGAGATCGACGAGGGAAGTGACGCGGCTTAATTACAACACGCGGACGGATCTGATTGAACGCGTGTCCGCGATCCCGAAATTTCCATCTTTTTAAAAACTGCGACGCAGACGTTAGACGCGCCCTCTTCCCTCCGGGCTTCCTCGAGGGATTCATTCGGTCGGTTCCACTCCGCGGAGCGTGTGGACGGAACGTTTTCCCAACAGCTCCTTCGTTACGAAATCATCCCTCGCTAACTTTCGCTCACGCAAAATTACTCGACGCGATGCATCGGTTCGATAATTCGGCCCGCGACAGCGAATCGTCGTATTAGAAATCCTATATCCTTTTTCGCTGTACGAATGGAAAGATCGATCGATGAAACTCTCCCTCTCCGCAGGTACACGATAGACAACCAGAAGGTGTCCGGGCGGGTGATCTCGGAGCTGCGCATCACCCAGGCGAACCACATTGACCGTGGGGACTACACGTGCGTGGCGACGAACGCTTACGGCCACGCCAGGGCCGGTATCAAGCTGCTGGTGCAGGAGCCACCCAATTTCCCCCGGAATTTACACGTAGCCGAGCAAGGGAGCAGATCGCTGCTGTTGGCCTGGTCGTCGCCGTCCAGCGAGCAGGATCCAGCGCACGCCAGCTCGCCCATAACCAAATACATCGTGCAATACAAGGAGGCGCAGGGTAGGTTGGACGATTCGCTTTGTTCGCCGCGATCGGATCACGCGACCAATCATTATCGGGAACGACATCGCCACGAATTTTCTCCGCGAATATCTCTCGGGTACGGTATATTAATCCGGATGCAAAGGTGATTGAAATGGATTGAAACTCGATCGTGGCGGCCTCGCGATGAGATTGGACGCGGCACGGTGATTCCGTTTGATGGGATGGAAACGAGGAGGCGAGTGGACCGAGGTGCAATGCTGCGACGGTCCAGCTTGCCTCGAGACAGAGAGGCGTGTCTCGGGAGCGTGTACTAGCGACCCTGACTTCGATTGATCGTGGTCAAATGTACGGCGCATGCACGACGCTTCGTGGATCGATGGATCGAGGTTTCGTGAATCGGCAATGGGAATCATCGGGGCTCACGATGACGCGTACACCATGTCTGACTCATTCCTATCGCTAAATAGACTCGCATATTCACAGTGCATATTCGCTCGTTACGTTCCACCATCGTATTCACGTCGCTATATTTTCT